GGGCGCCGCAGGGGTGAGCCCCGGTGTGCCGGCAGTGCCGGGCTCCGGTGTGCCGGTTGTGCCGAGCCCCGGCGTAGTGGTTGTGCCGGGCCCCGGTGTGTCAGTTGTGCCAAGACTTGCCGTGCCGGTGGTGCTGAGACCCTGTGTACCGGCTGGGCCCAGATCTGGGGTCGAGGTTTTGCCGGGGCCACCCCGGTGTAGCGGTTGTGCCGAGACCTGGTGCGCTGGTTGTGCCAAGCCCCGGTGTAGCGGTTGTGCCGAGCCCTGGTGCGCTGGTTGTGCCAAGCCCCGGTGTAGCGGTTGTGCCGAGCCCTGGTGCGCTGGTTGTGCCAAGCCCCGGTGTAGCGGTTGTGCCGAGCCCTGGTGCGCTGGTTGTGCCAAGCCCCGGTGTAGCGGTTGTGCCGAGCCCTGGTGCGCTGGTTGTGCCAAGCCCCGGTGTAGCGGTTGTGCCGAGCCCTGGTGCGCTGGTTGTGCCAAGCCCCGGTGTAGCGGTTGTGCCGAGCCCTGGTGCGCTGGTTGTGCCAAGATCTGGTGTAGAGGTTGTGCTGAGGCCCAATGTGGCGGTTGTGCCAAGAGTTGGTGTGCCAGTGGTGCTGAGACCCGGTGTAATGGTTGTGCCGAGCCCCGGTGTGCTGGTTGTGCCGAGATCTGGTGTAGAGGTTTTGCCGAGCCCCTGTGCGGCAGCTGTGCTTAGACCCGGTGTGTTGGTGATGCCGAGCCCCGATGCAGTGGTTGTGCCGGGCCTGAGCGTGCTGGTTGTGCCAAGATCTGCTGTGCCGGTTGTGCCGAGACCCGGAGTACTGGTTGTGCTAAGCGCAGATGTGCCGGTTGTGCCAAACCCTGCTGTGCCGGTTGTGCCGAGCCCTGGTGTAGTGGTTGTGCCGAGCCCTGATGCGCTGGTTGTGCTAATCCCTGCTGTGCCAGCAGTGCCGAGCTCCGGTGTGCCGGTGGTGCCGAGCCCTGTTATGCTGGTTGTGGTGAGCCCTGGTGTGCCGGTTGTGCCGAGCCCTCCTGTGCCGGCTGTGCCAAGACTTGGTGTCGTGGTTGTGCTAATCCCTGC